AGAAGAAAAACAATGTTGAATACAGAGTTATTTGCTGCAAAATAACTGCATTACTTTATAATTCAAGTAAGTCATATTATTTCTGCCACCTTTTTTGGTATATATCTTCCCATGAAGACATTGTCAGAAAATATGTTCTTTTTTGTAGAATTATCCTTATATAAACACATTTATTTGTTTCCCCACTATTTTATTAAAGTATTAGTCCAACACCACATACATTTTCTTATAGTTTATATTCTGAATTTGACTGTAGCTGTTACTGGTAAGAAACATCTTATAATTAGAAAAAAAGATGTTTTTACACAGCACACTAAATATGCCTCATATGTTTTTTAGATGACAATAAATACTAAAGGCACTTGGCAGTTGTTTGGTAAAATTTTGAATGTTAAAGGATTTTGTTTCTCTATGTTTTTGTGTCACACTTACTGCCAGTTTCTGTGTTATAACAACGTTATCAGGATATATTTTTGTAAGTTAACAATGATGTCAATTACTGTTGTCATTGCGAACAATTTTCAGGGTCACCATATTCATATTTGCATTTTCCTAAAAAATATCTTATTGAAAGACACATTTCAAAGGTCTTGTTGTTTCAAAGACTGCGATGAATAGTTCTATTTTTTCCATGCCATAGGGTACGTGGATTCCATGTTGGTATTATTCTTGAAAGGGAGATAAATGTGTAAAGATTAGGATGTTTATACAGAATTCATCAAAAATGGTAAATTTCTGTCTGAAGTTTTTCTTTCGCACTCTAATCAAAACAAGTGATTTTTATGATGTCAGATATATTGTGTGGTGCATTTCTGGTCCTTATTGTAATAAATTAGAGGCAATATTTGTTTCATTATCCTCCAGTACTTTTTAATATGTACTTACATTATTTTGTTTTTAGAATGCCATTATGCTTTGTTACTAATTTGCTTTGTTATTATTTGCTTTAGAGAACAAAAGCCATGAGGTGACTGCTGAAACTAGTAAATTGGAAGGTATGTTGTCCAGATTGCAGTTTGTATACAAAGTAAGATGTTCAGACTTCACTGACTTTGTGTCACTTTAGAAAAGTATATAAAATAGGCTGTTAAAAATGATCAGAAATTTGAACAATTTCCACCATTCATTTGTCTTAGGATGAACTCCAGAATTCTCCTTTCATCTAATCTGAATGTTCATTCATTGTTTGCTTGTTGGGAATATTTAGTAATTTTCCTTTTCTGTTTATTTTTTAAATTGATTCCATATTATTTGCTATATTCTTGTGTATGTGTCCAGTTTTTCATGTGTGTCGAGAAGACCTTGTGTCTGATTGGTTATTACATGAATGTGTTCCCTCTGTCTCATCTTAAAAGTTCTGCCTGTTTGGCTGACAGATGTGTTAAAGCAACGCTTGCAATAATTTCTCTAATTAAACTTAATATTAAGAAATATATTTTTATGTAGTTCATGGATGTAAAAATTTACAACATTTATCATGTAACAGTGTTTGGTTGAACTGATTACCAGCATTGTACTAGAACTGTGAGTTTTAAGTTTGCATACCATAGATTAGAATCACAACTCTTGTTGCAGGGCTCAGGAGGGACTGTGGGTTTTGCAGTTCACAGCATTAGGGAGCTCATAAGAAGGTATGTTCATTCATCTATAATGAGTTGTCACACACTTGTGATTTTAATGATTAATGCAAAATTAAATCTTCAGGGACGACACAAAATTTTATTTCTGCTTGGCATTCTGATGCATTGTGTTTTTGGAATACCAGTTAATATTTAGGTCTTATGGCATCCTTTATGCTTATGTTTGTATGTGTGTGTTTATGCACACTTGTGCGTGCGTGCATTGTAATGGAATATTAAAGGAAACTATGTAGGCAAATAAATGCAAGAATGTTAACTATTCATGAATTTAGTCGTACCTTTTTTTGTGTGCAAATGTTTTGCACGTTTTCTAAAACATGTTCATGGTAACTGCAGGAAAATTAGAAATTTGATATAAATTGATTTAATATAACTGATTATCACATAATGGACATCTCAGTATCAGAAGGACATCCCATCACAAGACCCAGAGACTTGTTTCTGTCTTCACCCAGAATAATGTTAAACCACACTTTGAAGGCTCAAACTTTTATTACTTGCATATTCCTACCTTGTTCAGGTGTTGTGTTGTTGTTGTTGTTGTTGTTGTGGGGTTGGTTGGTTGGTTGGTTTCTCTCTCTCTCTCTCTCTCTCTCTCTCTCTCTCTCTCTCTCTCTCTCTCTCTCTCTCTCTCTCTCTCTCTCTCTCTCTCTCTCTCTCTCTCTCTCTCTCTCTCTCTCTCTCTCTCTCTCTCTCTCTCTCTCTCTCTCTCTCTCTCTCTCTCTCTCTCTCTCTCTCTCTCTCTCTCTCTCTTACTGAAATTGTTTCTGTTGGTACAGATGTTTTTAGTACTGTGAAAAATGTTGGGTGTAATTACAAATCTTTGCTTTATAAATTAACTCCACTATCACTCTGTAATTGCCATCTTTACAGAAAGCAGTGAAAACCAGATTATAAAGAAGAGAGATGCCCAAAAACTTGAAGCTACCATTTACATAGTTTAAAAATATTTAAACTACTTGTATTCATTTTATTTTATGTTGAAGTGACATAACTCTCATGGACAAAAGTTTGGGACACTTTATAAATATCCAAAATAACAGACATAATTTATTTATTTCACTTTTAATGATGCAACAGGAACAGTACAAGTGATTCAATTTACTGACATATTCTGATCAACGTGACAGAAGGCACTTTTAATTTCAAATATTGCAATATTAAGGCAAATTGTCTGTAACTAGAGTATTAATTATAATTAGCCAATCTCAAATCATACAGCATTGAGTGGAAATATTAAGATTCTTTAAATAAAAAGTTTTTTTGATGTTTTCCATCATTTAATAAAATAGGACGACGTTTCGGAGATGGGGCTCTATCTGCGTCTTCAGGCACCTACTCTGTTGGGCCCAATCGACAGAGCTAATCCCTATCTCCGGACAAGGCAAAAAGTGAATGTCCCGGAACATAAGGTGACGTGGGACGTAAAAAGAAAAACACACTCCAAAATAATTATAAAACAAATATAAAAGTTAGATGCCTATGATGAAAGTAATGTAAAACCAGATTCCAGTTAAAAAGAGAGAGAGAGAAGAGAGAGAGACAGAAAGAAGAGAGAAAGAAAGAAAAAAAAGAGTAAATGAATAAAATAGGAAATTGTTGACAATCAAATAGTTTAACGAGTGAAATGCCAAAGGCCAAGTGAAAACAAGGACTCACAATAACTACATAAGATCATTAAGATGAAACATGCTGCACCACTTTGACTTCTTCCAAGATCAGCAGTCAGTTTTGCAGACAGCTTAAGGAGAAAGCTCTGTGCATGTACTGGTCCTAGGATGGGTTTCAAGAATCTTTGGTACTCTTTGCACAATAAGTTCCTTATGATCCACCTGCCTCAGATATGCTCAAAGTGGGTTCAGCTTCTATAAATGGGTGCATAGAGCCCCTTTTTGCCAGCTAGTCAGCAATTTCTTTCTATCCCTTTATATCCTGGCACCCACAATTGAACATTGTTGTTTACAGCCATTATCATCAGGGATTTATGGCAGTCCCAAACCAGTTTTATGTTGATATCACAGTTGTGAAATGCTTTAATTTCAGCTTGAGTGTCAGAGAAAATATGAATGTTCCTATTCTGATAGCCCCTTTTAATATTCTCATCAGCACAAGCTTTGATAGCCAAAGCTACACATCTGCCTTATCCTATGGACATAAACCCCAGCTTCAGTGCCTGTAATCTAAGTTATACAACATGGGGACATATACAGTTATGGAAAAAAAACAGTGCCCAAAGCCTTGGACTGTTGCACTGAATCTACTTTTCAATATACAGTGGAACATCTTATAACCACCTATATCAGGGGAACCATATGTAAGATAAACTGATAAGTTCGATGAGCATGGGGAAGGGGTACGTGGTCATGGAAATTAAAAAAATAAGCAGAAGACAAATATATAATTGGCAAAGTTGGCTGTTACCTGGCCCTCCCACTATAACAATATGATCTTGCTTGGTAACACCTTTACCAAGCTTCCCCAGGTCCTCGACATTTGCAAAAGCATTACGTTTAAAAATACTATATCAAACTGAGTACTCAGATTTTCTTTGAGTATGGGTCCAATATAGCTCCCATGACTGCTTCCAAGTAATAAGATCTTCCTTTTCCTTTCTGACTTCCCTGAAAATGATTTTATTTCCCTGCTCTCATGAAACTTGGCTTTGCTGACCAACATCCAGTGCATCTGTTTCCAGAACACTGAATCTGTTGTTCAGTTTAACTCAAGAAGCATCATTAGCAGAGAACCTGTGTCACCTCGATTTTGAATTCTTTGGATTATTCCAAGTTTCTAACTTACCCCGTTCCCTAGTACTACTGTTGACATTTCCAGCTTTCAATCTACTAATGTCTTCAGTTTGGAAATAAATAATACAAAAGTGGGTCAACAAGCAAGCATACAATAGTCTCGTGTACTATATGACAGAAAAATTATGGTTGATACAGGCATTTGTTTTTGACGTAAATACGTCTATACGCAAGGGTCATTCGGCAAAAAACAGCGTTACGAAGATGTGTAAGGTCTATACTGTAACCGTCCACTGCTCGTGGCCTCGTAACAGCTACCTTATCAGGGTGTAGGATTGTTAGGGGCTAGATAGCTAGTCGGGATGTAGCTCTTGTCTCAGGTCGTGTTAACGGCCTGATCACACCAGCCAATAATGATTCGGATTGAAGTTGGAAGGCACTACTATTTATTTCTATACAATATACAGTTTCCAGTATGTCCTAGAACCTCCGCTATCGCGACTTAAAACAAGAGTGAGTCTCTACCCTAATTTTCTTCGGCGCCTGGGTCCCGGGCTTGGTGCGAAGCACCCCCCGCTGTCAGAGAGAGACCTCTCACGGACCGCCCAACATGATCCTCCACACTTGCTCCTAAAGGCACTTCTTTGTCTGTCGTAGACGGAGTCGAAATCGGATGTTAAACAGATGGCCTAAACATGACTTCTAGCTCTTAGGGCTGAAGTCCACCCTTGTTCTCTGCAGGTGGTGCTAGAATCTTACAGAAAGGTTTTGAAATACTGGAAACACACACAAAAGAAAAACTAACAAAACCTAACTACTTCCAGATGAGCGGTTACA